CACCGTGCGGGGACCCCCCCGCGGCCAGGGCGGCGAGTTCCACCCCAGCCAAGGCTCTGGGGCTCATCCCCACGAGCGAGACGGGGCGGCTCCAAGGCAGAGGGACTGGAAAGACCCGGGAGTGTGTGCTCCCCGTGGCTGCGCTGTCCGGAGCGAGCCCGGTAGAGGTCGTGGAGATGTGACTCTGGAGGTTGGGACACCAGGGCTAGCCCTGGGACTTGCCCTCCCCGGGAGACACTGAGTCCCTTTGCATTCACAAATGAGATCTGCACTGCATCCCCCACCACTGGCCACTGCCAGTCCCCCGGGGAGCCCACGCAGGGACCCCCGCGGGGACACGGCACCACCCACAGCCAACACCAACAGCTCACGGGTAATGTGACAGGAAGGTGATGTCTTACCTGCTGACAGACCTGGTCCCGTAGTCATCGAGACCCTGTGGAGAGGAGGGAGGAAGCACAGTGAGAGGGGATGTGAGCTGTGCCTGTTCAGGTGCCACCGGAGGGTCACACAAATAGACCAAAGTGCATTGGGACCCGAGAGCCAATGCATTTGGAGAGGAAAGGGAGATATGGAGATGGTTGTAGAGGGATTCAGACAGCAGGGAGTGAAGCTGCACCACTCACTCCACACTTCATCTGGCCAGACATGGAAAAATGACAGCCAGGAGAGCCCTGCTCTGCTCTGCCCAGCCCCTCCGTGGCACAGAGTTCCATCTGCTTCTGAGATGTCAGACACTTGGAAAGGGACTGAACAAGTCTGAGACACCAGTGAAATGGTCCGTGGAAAAAGGGTTTTGTCTGTATTAACTCCCACCAGAAATCCACAGGGTTTTGGACCATTTTCTCCTTCAGCCGGTGCTGAATGGGCTCTGCAGCAGGGAAGGACCACACAGGTCCAAGGACAGATGGGGACTAGACTCAGAGGACAACCCTGGAGGACATCCCTCCTTGAGTAAGGGCCTGCTCTGGGATCTAACCACGGAGGAGCTCTGCTCTCCATGACAAACACAGGACCACTCCAGGAAGGAGTGGGAGTCACTGGCCTCGGGGCTGGCCACACACTAGGGATCAGAGACCTGCATTCCCACTGTCCCAGGAATGCTCCCAGGCACAAAACCCTAACTCTAGCAGCAAATCCTGCTCAGAAAAGCCAGTGAACAGCAAGAAGCAGAGCTGTGCTTCCATCCCACTCCCTGCAGAGAGGACCTGATCCCAGATGAAGTGCTCTACCGAAGGGTCGGGTGCTGCATGGCTCTCTCTCACCTTCCTCATCCTTTCCCCATCTGTCAGCACATGATGCCAACGTGGCTCATTTCACTATGCTTGTTCTGGTGGGATAGTTCCACTACACCAGTGGCTTCTGGGTTAGGCTGATCCTGTCTACACATGCATCTTCCCCAACTCATTATCCAATTTGCTTTGAGCCCTGGTCGAGGTCTGCCCTGGCCCCACTATGAGACCATCACCGGCTTGAGTTGGCATATGCCAGAGAAAACGCTTCCAGCTGCCTGTGAGCAGCCTGTTTCTGGTGAGAGACTCCCATGGAGTCGGCAAGTGTTGTCCTTTGGGCATTTACGGGGCTGTTTTGTGCCATTCACCCCTCGTGCCTTGCCTGTTCCTCCCCATCCACTGCTCTCCTCTGTCTCCCTGCACCCCTCATCCCTTATCCCCAGGAGAGATGCTTGGCAGGAGCAGGGCTCCAGGAAAGGCACGTGGGGCACCAGGCAAAAGCAGCCAAATGGCCGTAAATCCCAAGGGAAACATTGCGTGTGTTGGACTTACAGCTGTCGACCTAGTGTAAGGCTTGTAGTGAGCGGAGGGTGCTTGGCAGAGGCCACTGGAATAGTCTTTAATTGCACACCCATAGGGCATTAGGTAGTCCTAAAACAATGAAGAGAGGTTGGAGAGCTGCCCTCCGGCACTCCACACATTCACACCACACCGGGACCAGGAACACACTCCTGTACACACCATCCAGGTGGGATGGAGAAGCTGCAGACCCCCAGCCACCACACCCAGGCTGCAGCAGGGACTAAGCCCAGGGATTTGTTCCAGCATCCCGTTTATGAAACGCTCCCTGAAGTGAGAGAAGCCCCTGGTGCTCACCTGGGAGAAGGCTGGCACGGCCACACTGTACGGCCGCTGCTTGAAGGTGTTGCTGCCTTGTGCAGGGAAGGCCTGGGAGGCCATGCCGTAGTCGGGCGGAGGGATGGCAATGTCATCCTTGTCCAGGAGGTTACCAGTGCTGCTGCTCTTCCCTTGCTGCAGGCTGGGAGGGACCCGGAGCAGAGGGTCAGCAACAACCCACACTCTGCTGAGCCCCCCAAACTGCCTATCCACCCATGGTGTGGCACCTCATGGCCAAGTCACCCTGAGTCAGCGACCAACCGCCTGTGCTGGGAGTTATTCCTAGCAGGAATTCCTGATTTCCATCCCAAGCCCACAAGGCTGCCCTGGGAACAGCACAGGGATCCCCAGCATCTGGCACAATGCTCCTACCTGGTGTGGACCCGCTCACTGCCATCGTTGTCGAGGACCCGTGTGTAGGAGAAAGGAAACCAGCCCCTCCTGCAATGCAAAGGCAGGGATGAAGGCAGAGCCAGGCTGATCCATGACGGATCTGAAGGAGGCTTCTACGGGGCTCCCCAGGACACCCACCACACTCACATTTTGGTCTTCTCGCTCTCCCCGTAGTGCCAGCCGTCCCGTGCCTCGGGCACCAGCAGCGTGATCAGGTCACCCTCCTTGAAGCTCAGGAGAGTGCTGTTATCTCCGGCAGCGTGAGAGAAAATGGCCTGCACCCTCGTCCTGCCGTTCCTCTCGAGCCCGGCGGCCATGGAGCTGGAGCGCGGCAGGGTCTTGTTTTCAGCTGCAGGGGACAGAGATCGGTGAATGCCCCAAGTCTTTGACTCTGTGGCAATACCCAGGCACAGGAGAGTTCCCTAACCTTCCGTATTTCATCCCAGGTGCCAAGAAACCCTTCAGTGTGACTCACACCTTCCCACTGAACAAGCAGGATCAGACTCTTGGCATCGCCCACCAGCCGTGGCAGAGGGAGCAGCCTCCCTGTGCCAGATTCCACAAGATTTTCCTCCTGGAAAGCCTGTGAAACCCTATGGCAGAGCCAAGCTCCATTGTCTCCTCAGTCCCAGGTGCAGAGGCATGAGTGGCACTTGATGGCAGAGGGATGCTACTGGTCACTGCCCCATCACCACCAGCATTCCTGATGCCTGTCCCCACTCTGGGGCTGGTCCCTGCTGACCTCTCCTGTGAGCACTGCCCGGCACAGCCACCCCACAGCCCCCAGCAGCCCCTGGAGGGGGGACAGGACCTCACCTGAGGCGTAGCTGTTTTTTGGTGGCACGTTTTTGCGAACTGGGAGTGTATTGGAGTAAGAATCACTCAGCTGCTTCTGAGGCTGGGGAGGAGATAAAGATTTGGGCTGTGCTGGCTTCATCTCAGACCAATGGTTGTACCCGTCGCTGTCTGGGCCTGAGACTCCATTCATCACTGGCATGGCCTCCTGCGCCGACATGCGCTACGAGAGAGGAGGGAGGGGAGGGAGATGGGGAATGTCTTCATTAGGGCATCCCACCACAGCTTCCCAGTGGGACACAGCGCTAGGGAGGAGGTTTGATCAGAGCTTCAGCCTGTTTGGTTTAGTTCCTCACCCAAAACAATTGTTCTGGGGGAGCGGTGGGGTCACCTCTATGATATCTTACTGCTCTGAGCTGTCTTGCACCTGCTAAACCCTCCCGAGCTCTACTGCTCAGCTCATGCTTCCACATCACGGGGGAACCCTTTTCTGAAAGGTCCTTCATCCCATGATGAACTTTCTCCCACAGTTACTGGGGTATCTGGGTTCAGCCCCACTGCTCTGGGACAAACCTAACAGGGACCAGCCTGGCCAGGCAAGTCCAGCTCATAGGTTCCCCAAATCCCCTCCAGCAGCCCCTCCAGAGCTCAGCAATGCCAGCAGGATAGGATGGGACAGGATGCCCATCCCCATGCCAGGCTCCTTCCCACATCCCAGGAGGGCACATGCATGGAGCTGCCCATCCCCATGATCAGCGACAGTCCATCCAAGGGCAACTTGCCGAGGACAGCGGTGACACCGGCTCGTCCCTCCAGCTTTGCTCAGAAGGGCAGGACAGCTTCCACCATGGAGATACTTACTCCTACAAAGGGTGCCAGCTCCGGGGGGACAGGGAGAGGTTTGGCACCAGGGATGGGGTCAGAGATGATGAGGTTGGACTTGGATGTGGACAGAGGGCTGGGCATAATGGTGCCATTGCTGCTGGCAGCCATCTGCTGCATCAGCTGTATGGCGCGGTCCGGGATCTTGTTGGGGTCCGAGCAGGATTGCTGCCACAGCGGCAGCTTCTGCGTCAGCATCTCCTTCCCCTGCGAGAGGAACACAAGGCATGAGGGCACAGGGTGCAGAGAGAACATCCCAGCTCTGCTCCCCCCCTCCCTGGGCAGCACCACGTGGATCTGGGCCTGGCTGGATCCAGGCCAAGGGACTGATCAACTGCTCCATGTATGGCATCGGTGAGATAACATACAGGGACATTCTGCTTTCAGGCTCTGGTGGCAGCTGAGCCAGGAAGGTGTCATGAAAAATGGGAAGGAGGGAAGGAAAAGGTAATCCATCTCCCCAGCTTGTTCTGAGATGTCCCGTGTGCATCTCCAGGCTGCAGAGCTGGGCAGGGCAGTAGGCTCTGCGTGGAGTGCAGAAACAAAACCTGCCTGAGTGCTTGGCAGGGCACAGCCTGTGTTCTGTGCTGTCACCCACATCCTGAGGGATGAGCTGCTTGTTTTGGGTGCTCAGCCCTGACAGCCTCCAGTCCTCTCTGCTGCACCCAGACCCCACAGCTCCCTGACTGCGGCAGGACCCGCAGCCATTAGCTGCCACGCTCTGAGCCCAGGGGGAAAGACATGGAGATAAACTTGTCCTTATTCACCCAGGATGCATTAGCACCCCAGTGTGTGGCTCTGCGAGGGGGAAGAGCCCCCAGGCCCCCTGAGGTCACTGCCCAGCCACAGCAGAGGGTGACGTGATGCATTTGCCCAGTGTAATCTGGGGATGAGTTGGTCCCTGTGTATCAAACCCCTCTAAATCAAATTTCAAGGTCCCAGCACAATTCTCCTCTAGGGGGTCCAGCCAGGGCACAGCCTCACCACCCTCTGAAGCCACAGGATGGAGTTTTTAGCCAGACATCCACCACACTCTGGATGAGCCACCTACAAAGTCTCTCCTACAAAATCACCCTTCATGTGCTGCTGCAGCCACAAGTCTTCGGTTGGTGCCTGCTGACCCCCAGCCCTGAGGGCAGCATTTTTCCCCTCCAGCACTACACTTGCCATGCCAAGTGTGGATCCATCCCGCAGCGCGGCGCGAGGACAGTGCTGACTAATCCCAACTCCCTCTCCTGCTCCCGGTGCCAAGCGTGGCGGTGACAGATGGCTGCTGTGAGCCACACAGGGTGGTGGTGGGGAACAACCAGAACGGGAGCACGAGGCTGCAGGAGCAGCACCGGCGTTCCCAGCCCTCATCCGGAGGGATTCTGCTCCGCACCAATGTAGGGTGCTGCTGCTTCCCAGGCTGGCAGGTGGCAGCTCCAGCTCCAATAGATGCAGGCAGCCACAGGCAAGAGGGACGTGCAGTTGCCATGGGCAAGAAGGATTTGGAGCAGCTGTGCCTGCTGGGGGATCTTGCCTGTGGGTCACCTGCTGATCCATCACTCCCCCTCTCCCCAAGCTGCAGGGGCTGCACCAGTTGTGGCTCTGGGGATATCAGCCTGCTTATAGGCAGGAGTTTGAGACAGGAGCATCCACCTGGTGATGGGGCAGCCAGGACCAGCTCCAGTGGGTCTGACTCACCTTGGCGTGGTAGGTGATGGCACTCTTGGCCACCGCGCATTGTTTCTCTACCAGGAAGCAGAATCGTCTCCTCTCTTCCGTCAGTGCTGTCTTGTAGCCATCAGAGACGTAGTTTTCCAGCTCCCCTTGCTTGTTGCTGATGGCTTCGATGTACTAGAGCAGAGAGAGAAGCAGGGAGGCGGCTGCTGTCACCGCTGCCCACCGAGTGCGCCCTCACCATCCTCAGGAAAGCAGCCAGCAGTGTGGCTTGGGGCTGACAGAGGGGCAAGCAAGCAGAGACCTCCCCCAGCACAGGACACACACACACATGTGCCTGTGCAGCCCC